TCGATTTTCGCCCGAAGACACACGGAAAACCCATTTCTTAAAGAGCAAACAACTTGAAGCGTTAAAACTCGCCTAACGGAAAACAACGTGTCACAATCCATAGAACGGGTCGGGAAATAGACGCAGTCCTATGTATCCAACAACTAGACATAAAGTTTGTTATCCTTTTTTTTTGATACCTTGAATTTTGAGTTATCATTTTATTTTCTTTTTATGCATATTTGTGCGGTGTCACCCCCGTTTGAACCCGATTTGCATTACGGCCCCAACTACTGATTGATCTCATCTGCCTAAGATCAATTCACAACGTGGGGTAGTCAGACTGGAGATCAGTGCAGTTACTTTGGTAACCAGGCGTTGGAAGCGAGTTGGGAACGTCGAGGCTGATATCGAATCTAACCAGATTCCCATCCGAATCACAAAAAGGTTAGAACGTCACATTTGGGTGCCGCTACCGATACCAAGCCAGTTGGTCGTCACAGGACGAGACAACACGACTGACGCGACAGGCGGACGTCACGTTTGGAGCGGCGACACCCGAACGGAGCAGCGAGGAGCGAGCGAAGGCTGCGTTTAAGGACGTCACAGTTGACGCCGCGACCAAGGACGCCACAGCTGGCGCTGCGACAAGGACGTCACAACATGTATATGGAGATGTCCCACTATAAAAATGATCTTGTGCCAGATTTCGTTATTTGTTTCTATGACGATAAACTACATCCGGTAGCGAGTCTTCTGATCAGGAGTTTGGAGGTTTTCAGAGTCGTGGAACCACTACTTAATTGCTGTTGTTCCCAGGTCCACTCTGACCCGGGATGATAGCACCTGTTGGGGTCCCATATATGGCCAAATAGGAACCTCCAAACAAAAACGAAACATTATGAAAGTATAAAAATACATTTTTATAGTAAAAATTACCAACAATACATTTTATATTTTAAAAAAATGACCAGTAATACATATTTATAGTAAAATTAGCAACAATACACATTTATAGTAAAACTAGCATGTTTCACCCGCTCGCTATCGCTTCGCAAAGTAAGATATATTCACTTCTTGAAATATTTGAAAAAAAATTTAAATGAACATTTCATTCATAAATTGGCTTGTTATAGTTAAGGAAAGTTTTACAAATAGATGCCAACTTGTTGACGGTCAAGTAAAATGCAAATTCAAACACTTTTATGTATTATATAAATCGATATTCCTAAACAGAACTATTTTTTATATGAAAATCAAAACAATCCTCAACTAAAAGAATAGTAATGAAGGACAGTTAATTAATGAAATAAACATTTTTAAAATCAATATGCAAATTAGTTAAACCTGAAGAGTGATATTGCCTAGAAATAGATAATATATAATGCAGATATTAGGCTTTAGCGTGCAAAGAACTATAAAGTTGAGCTGGGCTGTTTAATCTCAGAATTCATGTGATAATTGAGCTCCAATTTTGCATTTATTTATATAGATTCCATAATATTTTAGTTTACTTAATTAGCTATTATGTTTCTCTAACTCTTCAAATGCTGAATGTATTTCTATTTCCCATCTCTACACTATATTAATTTCATCTTACAAATTGTCCCCTGCTCTGTCACCCAGGAAATAAAAATATTTGTTTGTACGGAAAATAAGGATCTACCTACATCAAATCATCTTTAAATTAAGTGGCAGCAGAAGAATTATCGTTGAACTTTTAAAAGGTAACCTTAAATATTAACTCAATACTAGTTTAAAGCTAACTGCAATTTGGGATCCAAAAGGAAAATAAGAGTTACACACCTTGAACCATGAATGGTTCAAGGTGTGTAGCTACGATAATGGCTTGTATAATATACTAATATATACTTTTTTAACATTGCATAATCTGGCAACCCTGAATCTGAGCTCAACGAAAATCGTTCCCTGCCCTAACTTTTCTAGGGCTTTTAAATGAGCAATGAATAATTAAAATCGGACCAGTGGGAGAGGAGGAGTTGGTTGGATACACACACGCACAAACATACATACACTACTTTATATATAAGATTATCAACAATACATATTTAATGCAACATGACTAAAATTACATTTTATCTGTAGCTGAAGGAATACAATTACATTTAAAATATTTAGATTTCGGCATTAAATAACCCATAGAGGTGTCGATGTGGCGCTAAACATAACCAATTCTTTTGAAGGACAATACAGTCAATGAAAACAAAACAACTGCGTTATTTCACTTCTGTAAAAAAATCATATGAAGCAAAGTAGTGAAACGCTGAATTTCTAAAGGTGTCCCGACTTTAATTATACATACATACATACATATACATTTAGCTGATGCTAAATTCCAGGATAGCAATACACTACGCCTTCTAGGACTCACTTTTTCTACCGACAGAACCAATTGCTTCGTCTACTGCAAGGAAAGTTGTTTCGCGGTGTCGGGCGTGGTTAGCTATAATCTCCACGATCCCGTCACCCCAAACATCTGCCATCCGCATGGCTGATGCTAGACTCCTGGAAAGCCACACACTGCGCCTTCTGGAATTGAATGGAGTGACTACACCGAATCAATAACTGCATCTACTGCAAGGAAAGTTCGGTCACTGTGTCGCAGCAGTAAATATTAATCGTCAGAGTCTATCTACTATTCACCCTTGCATTGAATACTGCTGTCATATCTGATCTGGTGCTCCTGCTATTCATCTCGAGATTCTTGACAAAATTCAAAGAAGGATCTGTAATGTAATCGAACTTGACTATCTCAACAGGAATCGCTTTCTCGCCGACGTAACGTAGCTTCCCTCTGTTTTTTCTAGAAATATTTTCATGGCTTTTTACCTTGTGCCCCGACAACATGCATTTAAGCGAGCTAATAGAATGGAAGCAACATCCCGCGCTTTTACTGTTGACATATCTAAATGCAATCGCCATTTCTACTCCAACAGTTTCTTTTCTCGTACTCCCCACCTGTAGAACTCCCTTCCGTTCACTTGCTTCCCTGATAACTGCATTCTTTAAAAATTTAAATACAACGTCAATCGCCATCTTCTATCCCGTTCATCCTTTGTCCTTTCCTCAATCCTCCCTGTACTCAGTCTTTTCTCTCTCTCTTTCACTCCCTGTAAACCCCTGCGTACTACTGAGATCCCCGCCTTGCTTGGGGTGAAATTATTTTCTTTAATATGGCCTCCTAGCTCTCCAGACTACTACGTATGGAGCACAATCTAGATGGACGTCATTCAACGCCTCCATAACACTATAAAATCTCTGAAGTCAGCACAATGTCCAAAATAAATAAAAGGGATCTGATACAGGTATATCAGCGTTTTCTACCTTGTACTGAATGTGTCCGCAACGTGATTGTGCGGGAGCTGGTGTGTCAAAGTGATGTGGCCGTATGCTATAGCATCCACCCATCCAAGCTTACAGCACCTGGTATTCCATAGCGGTCACCCATCTGAATATTGGCTAGGCTTGACGTTGCTTAACTTTGATGATCGTACCGGAGCTGGTGTATCAGCGTGATGTAGCCGTATGCTATAGCATCCACGCATCCAAGCTTACAGCACGTGGTATTTCCAAACGGCCACCCATCTGAATATAGACCACGCTTGACGTTGCTTAAGTTTGGTGATCGTAACGGAGCTTGTGTGTCAACGTGATGTGGCCGTATGCTATAGCATCCACCTATCCAACCTTACAGCACCTGGTATTCCCAAGCGGTCACCCATCTGTATATTGGCCAGGCTTGACGTTGCTTAACTTTGGTGATCGTGCGGAAACTGGTGTGTCATCCGCCCATCCAAGCTTAGAGCGCCTGGTATTACCAAACGGTCACCTAACTAGGTACTGACCAGGCCCGCCGTTACTTGACTTCCGTGATACAGCGAGAACTGGCGTAACTAAGCTCATTACACCAACTGCACGTTTAAGCTTACAGCACCTAGTATTCCCAAGCGGTCACCCATCTAGTTATTGACCAGACTTGACGTGGATTAACTTCGGTTCTCCTTTGCAAACCGATTTTTCAACGTGGTACGACCGTAAACTAACGGTATTTTTGAGTGAGTAAAGGAAACTTCAGTGCCGTTTATCCTGCTTTCTTATTAGCTTATGGCAACCATTAAATATTAAGTGACGAGAATATCTGATGTGACATTCTTAAGCTTGCGTTCAATGCTTAACAACTTTTCCTACGTTCATTGGGTTCCCCTTCAACTTTATATGTATTGATCGCCGATAACTCCACTTTCTTATTATGTCTGAAAAAAAAACATTGATATGATTCAGAAACCGTGCGTGAAAGGGAAAGAAAGCAAATCGGTTTAACAAACGCTTCGTTTTACTCTTAAGGCTCAGTGGAAAATACATTTTGGCAAAAGCGGCAATTCTTTCCAGTACATCGACAGGATCAACAAAAGTCAGTAACGTTTATAAACCTTCTTCACTGTACAGTCCGTCTTAGGTATGACGATAAACTACATCCGCGTCCTGGGTAAGACGATAAATTACATCCAACAGCAGTGCCTCTGATCAGGCGGTTTTGAGGTGCGTGGAACCACCTCTTAAATGCTGGTGTTGCCAGGTCCACCCTGACACGGAGTGGTAGCAACTGTTAGGGTCCTAGCTATGGTAAATTGTTAACCACCCCCCCAAAAAAAAAACTATGGTCAAAACACTATGAAAGTGTAAAAATAGGTTTTAATACAAGCAAAACATTTTTGAAAAAAATTATTACCAGCAATAAAAATCATGTCAGCATTAAATAACACAATGAAATTAATATGCCGTAAAAAAAAAAAACAAAAAAAAAAAACAGAAATACTTTGTAAACAATTATTACCAGCAATAATTTCGAAGACAAAAATATTACCAACAATACATTTTTGAGGGAAAAAATATATTAATAGCAATACATTTTCAAAAAAATATTACCAGTAATAAAAATCTTGTCGGCATTAAATAAGGTTGATATGCCGTAAAACAAATGAATCTAAACCAATATATACTGTGATAGATAGATAGATAGATAGATAGATAGATAGATAGATAGATAGATATTACCAGCAATAAAAACCGTGTCGGCATTAAATAACCCACTGAGGTTGTTATGCCGTAAAACAAAATAAACCAAACCAATATATACTGAGATAGATAGATAGATAGATAGATAGATAGATAGATAGATAGATAAAAAATATTACCATCAATAAAAATCTTGTCAACATTAAATAACCCATTGGGGCTGATATGCCATAAAACAAAACAAAACAAACCACTGCGAAGTAAATTTGATGACACCGGTTTACAGTAATGAGGAGTTCATATAATTAAAATTATCATATATATTAGATTAGGGAATAAGTCGTGAGCGTTTTTTCAAAATGTTTTATTGTCATGGTGTTACAATGTTAGATAAGTCAACAATATAATCTCCGTTGCTGTTGATAAATTTTTTCCCCATCGGTCACAAAATATTTCTGTTCATTGACGATAAAAATCCCCTAAAAAAAGATTAAGAGCCCTATAAAGGCTTCGTCTAATCAAACCCTCAATTCAACAACAATATTGAATGTTACACAACGTAAGGCATTGAAAAGAGATCGAAAAAGATGAAAATTTGATAGTGCCAACTCTGGTGAATACGGAAGATGAAGCAACACTTCCCATCCAAATTCTTAAATAAGGGTTTTAGCGATGTAAGGACGAATGTTGTCGTGTTGAAGAAGAACACACTGTCACTGAATCGGTCCTTTTGCTGAATTGCTTCACAGAAACTGTGCAGTTGTTGAACGTAGATCTCGTCATTTACCGTTTGGTCTCGCTCAAGCAATTCATAATGAATTATACCTTCCCAGTCCCACCATACACGCAACATGGTCTTTTCGAGAATAAAGTTCTTGTTTTGCTCGAGGTGTCGCTTGCTTCATATTGACATAAAGACACCATTTTTCATCGCCAGTGACAGTGAGATAAAGGAAACGTTGTTTTTGACCGTATGCTGAAAGATGCTGAGACAGAAAACTGGCTGCGCGTTGATTCTTCTTGTGGTCATTCAACGCGTGATGACGTCATAAACCAAGTTTCTGAACCTTTCCCCATTGAATGAAAGTGATTTACTACAGTTTTGTGATCGCAATTCATCTGTTCCACCAAATTTCTGGTTGTGGATTTTCGTGAAGAAACTGGTTTAATCGTTCCTCATCGAACTCAACTGGTCGACAAAAGGCGCTCCCCATCCTCCAGCAAAAAATTTCCTTTTTTCATGGGCGAATGGTGCAGTAATGGATTGAGGAATCGGAGAGCCGAGTTCAAATTCCAGTCGAATCCATTACATTCACTTACGTGCAAATAACCTTGGAAAAGGCAGAGATAGCTCTAGAAACTATGCCACTCAAAATTTTACATTTTCTGCCAAACCAAGTCAATTTTAGATAGATAGGACACAGACTAGGGCCAAATTTGGGAGACATATTAAAATTATGTATCTTCCTTTCTATTGTATGATGAACTAATATTAGCTGGAAAAACCATTATTGATTAGAATAGAACGAATTTTGATCAACTCTTGCTGAAATGTACAAGAGGAACAAAACATTAAGGCCTGAGGAACCAAAGTTTTGACCAGACTTATTTTTCTGGTACGAGGGACAAAAAAGTTCCAACAAGTGTAAAGACCTGTAAAAGTTGCTTCACAGAACACACTAAGAAAAGCACCATTCTTGCTCCAGACTAAGGCATCAAGAAACGAGATAGAATTGTTTTCCTCTTCATCCATTGCGAAGACCAAAGATGGGTGTAATGAATTTAAAGATTCTCAAAAATAAAGAGTTGTTTCATTTATGTTGTTAAGCATAGAGAAGGTGTCATCAACATAATATTGATAGATATATGGTTTCCAATATTTCTCAAATAAACGGCTTTCATGGTAACCAACACAAATTTTTGCTAAGAAAGGACCCAAAGGACTACCCATAGAAACTCCATCTACGTACATAACATCTTCGAAGCTAAATTTCACCACCTCTGTTGCTAATTTCAGGAACTCTAGAAATAAAAGCTCCGGGATGGAAGGAGAACCCAGGCAACCTCTATAGAGAGCGTCAACGCATATCTGTGTAGTCTCTTGTAAGGGGACATTAATGTAAAGACTCACGATGTCAAGTAAAACCAAGTTATTCTCATTAGAATTTATTGAACAATTTCTAATAAACTAGGTAATCGAGTCTGATACACAATAGGTTGAGAAATAATTTAAGTTTAATCAACTCTGCTAACCATGCTGTGCTGAACCCATCATGGATACAATGGGTCGTAGAGGCATATTATTTTTGTGAATCTTCGGCAAGTCTAAGTCGTTTGGAACATGCAGGTCTAATTCGGTTGTAGGTGTTTTTGGATATAAAATTACTCTTATATACATCCAACAACCTTTTCTGGAGTTTTAATTTCAAATTTCAGCATTTTCCGTGAAATTGTTTGGTCTGATGAGTTGAGACCGATTTGAACGATTTGATCTAGCGAAGTAAAATATCCTGGGTCCTACACTGTTTCTGATGACGCTACCATTTACTCTTGTCTTGACAGCACATTCGTCGGAGCTGACAAAGTTAACCTGGCCAATGCTTTTGAAAAGTACCTCCAATCTGTGATTAACTGAGACAGTAAGTGGCACGCACAATTTAGTGCATTCAAAACGAAACTACTTTCATTTAACTGCCACAGAAAAACATTCCTGTTCGCTATCAGCATGGCTGGTTCTAGAGCAACACACTGCGCTTTCTTGGCCTCACGTTTTCGACTGACTTGTAGTGGAACAACTACATCGAATCAATAGCTGCATCTACTGCAAGGAAAGTTGTGTCACTGTGTCGTGCTAGAAGGTTTTTCTCATCAGAGTTTATCTTGCATATTTACATGAAATTTAGAATTCGTCCTTGCAATTTCTTCCTGCAGAGTTTTCATTCAGTCGACCTCACATCCAGCTGACCTCTGGTTGAACTCTCAGCAACACATTCGCACTGACCGGGTCAACTTACAATTCGACCAAATTAAACCCGACTCAACACGGCACATTATCATTCGTTATTCTTTTAGCTCAGATCTTTTCTTGAATTGAAGTCAAAGACAAAGACAACTACAACTACTCACCAATGTTTTAAAGAAGCAAGATGTACATGACAACTGAGATGGTGCTCCTGCTATTCATCACGAGGTTCTTGAGAAAATCCAAAGAAGGATCTGCAATGTAATCGATCCTGACTTGCCATCTTGACTTCAGTCACTTTCTCGTCGACGTGACATGGTTTCCCTCTGTCTTTTCTACAAATGTTTTCATGGCTTTTTTTCTTCGTGCTCGGACTACATGAGTTTAAACGTGCTACTAGATTGGCATCTAGATCCCCCCTTTTACTTTTGAATTAGTTAAATTTAACCGCCACTTCTACTCCAACGGTTTCTTTTCTCGCACTTCCCGCCTGTGGAATTCCCTTCCGTTTCCTTGCTTCCCTGATTTTTTAAATGCAACGTCAATCGCCATCTTCTATCTTTTTGAACCCATTTCAACTTTTACCCTTTCGTCTGTCCCCATTATACCCAGTCATTTCTCTCACCTTCACCCCATGTGTACTAGTGACATTCCCGCCTTGTTTAGGGTGAAATAATTTAAACAAATCTATAGTTCAATTTAAAAACTATAACTACGACGTTTTTCTTGATCAGTTTTGTAGTAACACTATGAAATGAATCCGTGATTTTGAGAGGATTAACAAATATATATTCAACCAAACATATATACATATATATATATATATATATATATATATATAGAGAGAGAGAGAGAGAGAAAGAAAGAGAGAGAGAGAGAGATAAAAAGATAGATAGATCTGAAAATGATTAGATAGATAGATAGATAGATCTGAAAATGTTTATATAGATAGATCTAAAAAGGATTAGATAGATCTGAAAAGGATTAGATAGATAGATAGATAGATAGATAGATAGATAGATAGATAGATAGATCCTAATGTGTCATGCGTAGGTGCATTGTCACGGTGTGTTTGGCTCTCTTTAACCCGAAAACATTATCTTAACCATTTACGCAATTCCAAATAAATATTTCGATCGATTGACAGTTTGAATTCGTGCTAAGAATTTGTGGCAAACAATCCACTTACGATAACACACACACGCACAGACACACACATAAGTATTGTGAGACCGGAAACTACCTACACAATAGACTCTTCCAGGCCTATATTGAGTAGGTGACATAGCACTCTAGAGAGTGACAGAGAGTGATATAGTAAGATCCGCTTACACTATCTCTGTAACCTGTTGTTAATATATCTTTCTTACATCTAATCCGTGTTCCGTGTTTTACTTCTGTGGTCCCAACTTTGGCCCCACATCAGTGGCGACGAGGATTCGAGAAACGCACTCACGGCGAAACCTAAATACCTTACCAGTCCCACAACAGTGGCGACAGAAAGATTCGAGAATTTCGTCTCACCATATCAATAGCGACAGTACTCGAAAAATACACAAACTCCACGCGTTCCCACAACAGTGTTGAACGTGAAATTAAGCTGGTATTAATACATTAGCGATTTAAAAGCTAAACACCCAGCGGCTACATATATTCCAATACCAAACAGCAGTGACGAGCAGTGATTCGACATCTACGGAATATTAAAGTCTGTCCAAAAAACAAGAACGAATTCTTACACGCTCACACACAGAAAAAAACAGTTGTTCATAAAACAAACTGACAATACAAGTGCAAGTACTACCATTGTACTCAAGTTTTCGAAAAAAAACTATCGAAAATTTTTGAACTCGGTCATAAAATTATTCTCCCCTCAAATTCACTGAGGTGAGTTTTCTCTATAAAAAATAAATAAATAAGTGTGGTGAAAAATTATTCAATTACGTTAAAATTAACGGAACCACGGGAAAAAAAGCTAAACACATATAAATGGTTTAGTTTAACTAATTGTCTGTCCATTTTTTTCTCTGTAAAAAAAAAAAAAAAAAAAAAAAGGAAAAAAAAAATCTATCAAGATTTTTTTGTGTACCTCCTCTTAGTACACGTGTTTCAAAGAAAACAAAAAAGGCTGTCATTTTTAAATACGGAAGATTTGCAAAAAGTAGTTGCCCAAATGTTAAAACTAAATTTGGACCAGCAACAAAAAATCAGAAGAAAGACAACAAGAACTATTTTGGATTTACATAAACAACAAAGGGAATTCAAAAATTACGCTTCAGAATGCTGAACTGCAACAGAAACAACAAAGAATTACTCGTAAATGCATTAAAAGGCTCAAACTCTGAAAAGATATAATATTCTCCCAGAGTACAATCTACAATTCAATGAAACCTTTGAATACGTACCAGAGGAAGACAAAACGTTCAGGCATTTTACAAATGCTACGAAGATATTTTCAACGTAGACTGTGAACAATGGTCCAGTAAAAATAAGGTACGTCTACTATTGAGAAAACTGGGAACTACAGAACATAGTAGGTTCGTAGACTTCATACTACCCAAGAAAACGACTGACTTGGATTTTTTCAGAGACTATTAAGCTCCTATCGGAACTTTTTGGCCTAACACAACCTTGTTCCACAAACGTTGGAAATGCCTGAACACAGTCAAAGACAACCAGCAAGATTTTCTAACGTTTGCAGCATCGGTAAACAAGCTCTGTAATGATTTTAAACTAGCCGAACTGACTGCCGATGATTTCAAGTGCTTGATTTTCGCACAAGGTCTAGTATCAGCAGAAGACGCCGAAGTCAGACGACGGGTACTGACCAAGCTTGAGAACGAACAAGGATTGACTCTCCAAAAACTGGCAGAGGACTGTCAAAGAGTAATATCTGTAAAGCGTGACTCAAACACTATCGAGGAATCAGATGCGGCTCTGATTAATAAAATCAGAAGCAAGTCTACCTCCTATTCCCCTCAAAAAAACAAAAGGCAAATCTCATGTTCTAAATTCCGCAGTAACCAAAACCCAAATAGGTTAAAGAAACCGTCCGGACCATGTTACAATTGTGGTAAATGGCATTGGATGAAATTCTGTCCAGTAAAGAACAAAAAATATTGCAGAAATTGCAATAAAAGTGAGCATCATTAAGCAGAGAATTGGCGAACTGGTATATATGGTCCAAGGACCAAAAAACATTCACAAACGCCATTGGAACCAGCTCAGAAAATGCCGTTTGAAGGAATCGGAGGAATCACTACAAAATAACTGAAGAGCCGATCGACGTAATTTACGATCACTTCGATCTCGACATGCCCCAAGTCTCTCCTGAAGTGCGACGCTCAGGAAGGAAAAGGAAATTTACTCAACCGCTCGACGTAAATCCCAAGAGGAAAAAGTATTAACAGTTTTATTTTTCTCTCCTTTTCAAAAAGAAAACTCTTTGGAAGGGGGTTATTGTGAGACCGGAAACTACCTACACAATAGACTCTTCCAGGTCTATATTAAGTAGGCGACATAGCACTCTAGAGAGTGATATAGTAAGCTCCGCTTACACTATCTCTGTAACCTGTTGTTAATATATCTTTCTTACATCTAATCCGTGTTTTACTTCTGTGGTCCCAACTTTGGCCTTACATCAATAAGTATCATGGTGAACGATACATATCTTTCTTTTTTCTTCAACCGAGGCAAATTCTTTGTTTTCCACTGTATTCACTGCCCTTTTGTTTTCAAATATCACGTTTCATCACATTACCGAAAACTGTGAAAGGGGTCCTTTTTATAAAACATCTGGCACTGAGTATAAATCTCACCTTATTCGCAAACGGAAATGGTGTGCTTTTTAAGAAATAGAAAGACGTTCACTCGGATTTCAGTCGCGCAAAACTCGCGAAGGTCGTTATAAACGCTTCTAGTAGTATTCAAACAATACAAAAAATATATCTTAAACAGTCAAACATGAAAAGAAATTAACAACAGCAAAAAGCAACAACCCTTGAAAATGGTTAAAAAGTGGCCGAAAGCCTTTGTAACAATAAACATTACACACGATTTTTTTTACTCACTTACTCCCACTTGCCGGAAAATCTAACACTGCTAGAAAAACTAAATAAAAATTAATCAAATTTTCCATGTCTGTCATATTCAGCGAAAGATGTTTAAAAAAGTTTGCTGCCCAAATATACATTAATATATATATATATATATATATATATATATATATATATATATATATATATATATAATGTTTTAATATAGACAAAATTGCACTATGACAACCCAAATTTTTTTTTTTCACCAGACGAAGTGCAATTACATGCACCGAAACAAAGTTTGCATCCTTGTAGTAAGGAAATTGTTTTGTCTATATGAAATAAATTATCATAAATAATTATTGCTCTACTATCGGTATTGAGCCCTCTTTTGAAATAATACTATGAACGTTAGGATTTATATATTCTTTTCGTTCTCATTGCATTTCGGATATATATATATATATATATATATATATATATATATATATATATATATATATATATCGTAATGTTACGTAGTGGGTTGACATTGAATATCAAACTAATTACTCGACAGTTTGTTGATCCAGGTCTTTGTGGAACAGAGGTCAAATCGTGCGACCAACTCATTCATCTCTTCTCTATCTCTTGAAAAGCGCTGTGAAAGTCTTTCTTATTTAATATTATACGTTTATCTTTTTTTCTCGCTGATAGACCCAGGTGCAATCTAAGAGAATTTTTTTGTCGTAAGAGCACACTCTCTTACGATGCCAGTGTTTTCAGTTCGACGTTCTGCCTCAGAAAATAAAAAAAATGAGGATAATAAAGTTTCTGCTAAAGCATGATTTTCTTTTACATAAATAGCGAACTTTCAACTTTAATCAATCATAAATAGTTATAAACCTGTCTTAGATAGATAGATAGATAGATAGATAGATAGATAGATAGATAGATAGATAGATAGAAGAAAATACGTGGCCAAGTGGTTACAACGTCAGACCAGGAAAATCTATCTATGTGAATCTTATCATAACCAATTTGTCAGAAAGGTGACTTCTTGATGGTATCTATCTGCAAAGGCAATAACAGCGTGCGGCAATTTTGGAACACTATATCATCGATTAAATAAAGGCGTCAGTTCGAACTTCCCTAGAGGCTCCCGGGATACATCAAATGAAGACCGGAAGATACAAGGATTAGATAGATAGATAGATAGATAGATAGATAGATAGATAGATAGATAGATTTATATGGACTGGGATAGATAGATTTGAATAAGGATATATAGATTTGAATAGACAGAGATAGATAGATAGATAGATAGATAGATAGATAGATAGATAGATAGATAGATAGATGCTGTTTGCTGATAGGATGAAACAACGTATTGCATTTCGCATGTTTGGTTCTAAAGATTATTGGCGGCACTGCAAGGGCGTGCTGAACTACAGCAAATCCTCAACCTTTCTTCTCTTCAATCAATTCCAAGTCCTAACATGCTCAGCTGATAAGGCTGAATGCTTTGCTCAGAAATTCTCTTCCAACTTAACACACGACACGTCCGGGGTACCCACACCTGATTTTTTCTCTAGAACTGAGGTCATACTGAGCAAGATACGCATAACCCCCTTGATGGTATTAGATATCATCTCTAAATAAGACTCTCATAAAGCAAGTGGTGGTGACGGGACACCTAAAATGCGCTCCTGAGCTAGCCCCAATTCTCTCCAAACTCTACAAGTATTGCCTCGCCGACTCTTTCTTTCCAGCCTGTTGTAAATCCTCTTCTGTCGTCTCGGTCTTTAAAAACTCTGGAGACCCTTCTGACCCATCTAATTGCCGTCCCATCAGTCTCCTGCCACTTCCGGAAATTCTTCGAGTCTTTAATCAATGCCGAAGTAGTTAAGCATCTCACCTCCCATGATCTGCTCTCTGACAAACAATATGGTTTCAGCTTTGCCCGGTCTACCGTTGATGTGCTTACGGCCATAACTGAATATGTATAGCAAACTCTTTGATAATAATGGCGAATCTCAAGCTGTTGTTCTAGATATATCGAAGTCGTTTGACAGGGTTTGGCATGTTGGCCTTCGGGCGATTATTTGATCCACTCATTCCTGTCTAACCGTGAAATGAAGTTTGTCCCAATCGGGTTCTCTTCCAGTTCCTTCCATACGAATGCTGGTGTTCCTCAAGGTTCTATCATTAGTCCTACACTGTTTCTTCATCAATGATCTTTCTGATATCTTTCGTTCTCAAGTAGGCATCTATGCAGACGACACTACCATTTACTCTTGTCTCAATTGTAAATCCGACATTGCTGACAAAGTTAACCTGGCCATTGGCCTCGAAAACCTCCAAACAGGGGTTGACTGGAACAGGAAATGGCTTTTGAATTTTAATGAATCCAAAACGAAACTGCTCTCATTTCATAGAGAAACGTCCCCCCCATCCTATCAGCATGGTTGACGCTCAACTCCACGAGAGTGCCTCACTGCTTCTTGGTCTCACGTTTTCCACTGACCTGGGGTGGAACAACTACATTGAATCAATAGCTGCATCTACCGCTAGGAAAGTTTGTTCTTTGTGTCGTGCCGGAAGGTTTTTCTCGTCTGAATCCATCCTTCACATCTACAAATCTAACATTCGTCCATGGATGGAATATTGTTGCCATATAAGGTCTGGTGCCCCCAGACTATTCACCTCGAGGTCCTCGACAAAAGACGGATATGCAATGTGATCAGTCCTGACTTGGGGTCTCGTCTCCCGTCACTTTCTCGCCGCCGTAATGTGTCTTCCTTCTGTCCTTTTTATAAATATTTTCATGGTATCTACTCGTGAAAAAAACTCGTCATAGTAGATCCCATGGAAACATTTATAGAAAGGAGAGAAGGAAGACATATTGCCCCGATTGCACGAATTTAAGCGTGCTACTAGGCTGGCATTTCGGTCCCATCCTTTTACTGTCGAAACAGTTAAATATAACCGCCTCTTCTTCTCCAACAGCTTATTCTCTCGCACTTCCCGACAGTGGAACTCCCTTCTTCTTACTTGCTTGCCTGGTACCTATAATCTTCAAAAATTTAAATGTAATGTCAATCGACATCTTCTGCTGCCTTGATCACCATTCTTCTTTTTACACTTTCCTCACAACCCCCCCCCCATGCCCAGTCTTTTCCCTTAGTTACACTCTCTGTAGCCATTTGCGTCTTAGTGACATCTCCGCCTTGTTTTGGGGTGAATTGCTTAAAAAAAAATTAAAGTTCTCGGCCAGACCCACTTCCAACAAATGTAACAAAATGATCAACTATCAGATTTTTTAAAATTTCTTTCATGGTTGAACTTTGTTGTGACCTTGTTAGGGCCAGAAATAAAGACACAAATGAAGAAATGAGTTAAATTTATTAACAGAAACAGTAATACAAACATATACGAACAAGAGTGTTACAGCAAGAATGTTCGGTTCGACTGTCAGAGCTGATTGCTGAAAACTACCCTCCCAAAAGGCAGTACCTGCTCCTATTTATAGCTGGGAGAGTCTATGCGTGCGTGGGTAAATTACCATAACAAACTGAGAACAAAATCATTAAGTCTCAGATTTTTTTTAAATTTCTTTCTTGGTTGGAGTGAGAACTTTTCACGTCAATATAAATATTTGTCTGTCAATTTTAATTTTTATATAAAAAAAATCCTCAAGGCTAATGATTATGCGCATCTCTATTTTCGAAAGTACATGACAATATTCTTTATTACTCGAAATTTTATTTTTAGTGGATAACCGTGTTTCAGTAGACGCCTTTTTTCTTTGTTTGTGGGGTTTTTTTTGGGGTTTTTTTTCAGATTAAAAATGAAATCCGTTATTTCCTTAGAAACATTTTTCATAGAAATTCTGCCACGTTTTGCACTGCAAGTAACCTAAATGTCATTGTTTAAAATTAATAGAAAACCAAACAGAATTGAATTATCTGAAAGTTACTATTTCTTTCTTCTGATATTGTAAAGACTCGAGTATTAAAAATATTTATTTAAACCATCAATCATCTTTCCCTGTGCTTTTCGCACGTATATTCTCGCCTTGTGCATTGTTTTTTTTTTTTTTTTTTCGTTTTGTTTTTTTTTTCCAATTGCTGTATTTTGAAAACAAGAACTGTGTGAATTTAAATAAAATGTTTAATCTTTGAGTGTTAAGAATTCGTTAAAAGTAATGGGCCTCGTTGTCGTATAATGGTTACCATTCACGTTTAGTGACCTTTTAGTTCTTAGTCCTATCATCACTGATTGGTTTGTTCTCTTTTACGGCATATCAACCTCAATGGGTTATTTAATACCGACAAGATTGTTGCTAATATTTTTTATCTATCTATCTTAATATATATAGGTTTGTTTTGTTCTGTTTTACGTCATATCAACCTCAATAGATTATTTAATACCCACAAGATTTTTATTGTTGCTAATATTTTTTATCTATCTATCTCAGTCTATATAGGTTTGTTTTGTTCTGTTTTACGTCATATCAACCTCAATGGGTTATTTAATGCCGCCAAGACTTTTATTGCTGCTAATATTTTTTTCCAAAAATGTATTGCTGTTATTAAAACCTATTTTTACACTTTCATAGTGTTTTGACCCCAGTTTTGGCAGAGCGTGTGGCAACTATTTGTCCATAGCTGGGACCCTAACAGGTATTACTACCCCGGTTCAGGCTGGACCTGGGAACAAGAGGTGCTTCCACGCTCCTCAAAACCTCCTGATGAGAGGCCTTGCTGTTGTATGTAGTTTTGTCGTTTTACCCAGGACGCGGATGTAATTTATCGTCTTACCCAGGGCGGGATCATCACTGAGGGCCGCACATTTGTGCTCTTGTGCCAAAACAAAGTTGTGCCTTGTAAATATTTACGGCGCTTATTGCTTAGTGAACTGGTCGTTTTAGCAATTACTAATGAGAAATCAAATAGATCCTCACTGGGTGTCCTCTACTTACTTGTACTATACTAAGCTAAGTATAGTCACGCCACATGTCCCGTAACACACTAGAATTATAATATTACCACATGTATTTCAGCTATGGCAGCTGTTTCGTATTTAGAGCAATATAGCCTGACGGAACCCATCCCTCTTCAGCCTGGTTTTGTACTGAGTAAACATTAGGGTTGTAAGAGAAGCGCATGCACTGCATCTATAGATGCATCTGTGTGTCTACGACAATATAGCCTGGCTGAGCACAATCTAGGTTACTTTTGAATTGGGTTTTTCCTTCTCCTAGACCAGTTGTCACCTTATAGCGTGAGAGTCCAATCTACGCAGTTATTCATCCGATACATGTAGAAAGATGGATGTGTGTCTTTTTCAAGGGCATTAGCCCGAAGTGAAAAGATGTGAATCGATCAGGAATTGAACGTGTTACGCTAAATTCACGTTCCACGCTAATAACTGCTATCCACACCTCCGACCAGTAAGCTTATTTATTTGCATCATTCCGTTAAGGATTATTAATCGACAATGATAAATATAAACAACTAATTTTCTAGCACCCTTTCAGAACCGTGTCGAATTAACTATTTTGCCACCATTGTGCTTGATGTAGTTTCTCCCAACGCCACAAGATGCTGCATAACCAAAACATTAACCTAAGTACTTGAGATATCCTTAAATAGCCTCTTCCGATCAAGACTTTCACATGGATGCTATTCATAGCACCCAGCCTCTTCAGAAATGTCTAGTTAGATATATACAATCGCTTTCTAAGGTCAATGATTACAAACGGCTTCGAACAAATGAACCCAGTAGGTCTTGGAGAGGATCATCCTCTTTCGAGCCTCAGGGACTGGCGCTACAGAATCACAATCAAAGAACTGTGCCGAACAACAAAAACCACATCACTTGAAGTCTTTCAACAGAAGCAACAATAACAAGTAAAATAGACAGAAAATGTAATTGGAAGGCGGGGGGGCATAATAATATAATCAAGATGTTGATGAAAGTTTCGTAAGGAAACCCCAATCAATACTAAAAAAAAGGCGGGATAACAGTTTGAGAACTCGAGAAAAATATTTTCTTGATTGTTTTTTTTTATTCGAAAAATTTAATAAATTTCAAGCGACAGCAAAACTGCCAATTCGATCAATGAATACCGGATGTTTCCTGATAAGGAAACAGTTTAATGTATTAATTTATTTGTGAAATGCCTCAAAGACTTGGCAAAATTTAACACACTTAACATAAGCTTCATGAAAAGTGGGTGATAATTCACCTTCATAGAATGCAACAGTCCGATGCTTAGCGGTTGTATAATAGATCTACACGGCATCATGGAGCATATCTCTCGCAGAATACGTGAGTATTGCCGTGCTAAAAAAAAATCCTCAAATGCTAACAACAAATCATCACAAAACTTCTGGGAATAACACTTACAGTTAAATTAATATCCTCATCTTTGTTGTTGTTATCACAATGTTTCGGTCGTTGTCCCTTTCAGTCTGACGATTCTTTTAAACTCCAAGGAATTTCAAACTGAAACATTTACTTAACCTCTGGTGGTAGATTGTTTTGTTCTGCTACCTATATATATATATATATATATATATATATATATATATATATATATATTTAAGCGTTTCACCCCAAGCAAGGCGGGAAGCCACTAGGTCGCAAGGGGTTACAGAAGATTTGGAGCAAGATCAGATAGGAGTGATAGAGGAAAGGATGAGGAGAAGGATAGTGGATAGATCAAGGTAACTGGAGATGTCGATTGACATTACATTTGAATAGTTGGAGATTATAGCTCTCAGGGAAACTGAAATAGGGAAGGGAGTTCCACAGGCTAGAGGTGCGAGACATGAAGCTTTTGGAGTAGAAGAGACGGCTACAATTAATAGTTTCGACAGTGAAAGGGTGAGAGCGGGATGCCAGCCTCGTAGGGCGCTTAAACTCATGAAGTCTGGGAACCAGCGAATGCAGCTTCTTGGAGCAATTACCATGAAAGTATTTGTAAAAAAGACAGAGAGAGGCGACGGCGCGTCTGTGAGAATGTGACTGTAGACGAGATGCCAGAGAAGGGCCAATTATACTGCATATCCGCCTCTGGAGCTAATCAAGAACCTCGAGGCAAACAGAAGGGGCTCCAAACCATATATGGCAGCAATACTCTTTGCAAGGGCGAATTGTTGAATGTGGATCTGGAGGATCGATTCCAGGGAAAAAAATTTCCTGTCGCGGCACAGGGAGCCAACTTTCCTTGCGGTGTACGAAGCATTTTAGGATAACACATCTTGTTCAGTCTTAGTCTTAGTTATTCCGTGTTATTTTTTCCATTGAGGTTGAATCTATCCTACCCAAAATAAGGATTGAAAAATTATCATGCCATCAAATTCATTAATTGACGTTTTAATCCTCTAGACCATTGTCTTCAAATAATATATTATATATGGTGTTCCAATAACATGGGCCGATTTTAAATGTGAATTAAGTTTAATCGTCTAATGATTTTTTCTTTTTCTTTCAGAATTGGTGGACATTTGGGCGATATTATTTTTCACACATAATTGCCATGAGTCAAATAACATGATCCAATAGAGAAATAAAAAAAATTCACCAATAATACTGATATATTAAACTGCTGACTTTGATCCGTCTTAATGAAACACCCTATTATATATATTATATAATATACATAAACATTATATATTACAAATTATATTATAAATTATATTATAAATTATATTATAAATTATACATATTATAATTTATATATTATAAATTATATTATAAATTATACATATTATAAATTATATATTGTAAATTATATTATAAATTATATTATAAATTATACATATTATACATTATATATTATAAATTATATTATAAATTATATTATAAATTATACATATAAGTTATATATTATAAATTATATTATAACATAATATTATATCATTCAGAAATCAACTACGTATTTCACCGTTCCGAATTAACAACCAACCGAACAAAGTAAAAATAAATGAATGTCTCTTAAAGATAACCGACAATCGCTTTACTTTTGTTGTTCCAAGCAACTATTGTCTTTTTCTTCTCTATGAATTGTCTTCTTCGTCCATTCGAATAAAGTTGTTCAGTAGCCTTCAGTATGCCCTGTGAGCATTAATTCTCCAAGTCCTCTTTCCTCATTATGTGTCTCAAAAATTACAATTGTCATTTTATTATTTTCGTTATTGTTCCTCTCTTTCCATAAGACTTCTTGGTTCCTTATTTATTCTTTTTATAGTTTTCTTAGCATTCTTTGGTAGAACCACGTCTTTGTCACTTCAAGTTTTTTTTTTCCTTTTTTATATTAATAAAACAAAGTTCGAGAGATACTAAAGACTGAATGGAGTGTGATTGTGATATGCGGCAAAAGTAGATTATAGAAAATGTAGATTATCGTTCTCAGGAATATATACACACAGCTATCTGTTCCACAAAGCAGCAGTTCTTGGCGAAAAGCTATCTGATTAGATCTCTCTCATTATATCTGAAATAGCCTTCTTTGTCAAACGTAAGCGAATGCTACTACTTGAACTGTTACAGCCAAGCGCCATTTCGACCAATATGTCACAGCGTATCCATCGTGAACGCCAGAAAGCGTGGTGTTTCTTTTGCGCACGCGCCATGTCAAAAATTCATCTTTTATGTGTCATGGACATTCAAGACGTCATGGCTCTCTCTACACCTTTGCGTCTTTCGTTGACACTTTGAACATCGCCTTTTATTTTCTGTCCTGCCATCTATTGACAGGAATTCGTTAAGCGGGACACTTATCGTTTGCCACTGTTGCTCTTGCCTTCACTCTTGTCTTGTGAGTATTAAATTCTCTTTCTTCATTGTGTGTTCGGTAAATTCCATATGTCTCTCTTAGACTGAAAAGCATACGTTCTATTCTAGTTTTTTTATTTATTTAAGACTTCTTTGTTGATAACCTCTTCTAGAATACGTAGGGACATCCACATTTCTTCTTGTATTTTAGCTATAAGGATTCACTTTTATGTAGCAGATTTTCTTTCTTCTTTTTTATTTTCTTCTTCTACTACTACTGCTACTACTCCTCTTTCATCTTTTTCTTCTTTTTCTTCCTTCTATTACTACTCATTCTTCTTCTTTCTTCTTCTTTTTCATTTTCTTCTTCTTCTTCTACTACTACTACTACTACAGCTTTTCCGCCTTCTGTTTCATCATTTTCTTCTTTTTTCCTCCTTCTATTACTACTCATTCTTTTTCTTCTTTTTCTTCCTTCTATTACTACTCATTCTTTTCAATTTTCTTTCTTCTTTTTTTCATTTTTTCTTCTTTTTCTTCTACTACTACTACTACAGCTTTTCCGCCTTCTGTTTCATCATTTTCTTCTTTTTTCCTCCTTCTATTACTACTCATTCTTTTTCTTCTTTTTCTTCCTTCTATTACTACTCATTCTTCTTCTTTCTTCTTCTTTTTCATTTTCTTCTTCTTCTTCTACTACTTTTTCTTACTACTTCTTCTTTTTCTTTTCCTACTCCTTCTGTTTCATCATTTTTCTTTTTTTCCATTCCTTCTATTTCTATTTTCTTCATTCTTTTCTTTTTTTTGCTTCCTTCTTCCTTCTATTACTACTCATTCTTCTTCTTTCTTCTTCTTCTTTTTTTTTTTCTTCTTCTTCTTCTTCTACTTCTTCTACTACACTTCTTTTTCTTGCTTCCTTCAATTTCTTTTCATCATTTTCTTTTTCTTGCTTTTCCTTTTCCTTTTTTCTTTTCTTGCTTTTCCTTTTTCTTCTTTTTCAATTTCTTCTTCTTCTACTACTTATACTACTGCTATATCTCATTTTTCTTCTTTTCCTTTTACTTCTTTTTCATTGTTTTATTCTCCTACTGCTTTTTCTTCTTTCTCCTCTTATTACTCTTCTTTTTCATTTTCTTCTTCTACTTTTTCTTCTTTTACTTCTTTTTCTTCTCTTTCTTCTTTTTCATTTTCCTCTTCTACTTTTTCTTTCTTTTTCTTCTTTTTTTCTTCTTCATTTTTCTTCTCATTCTTTTCCTTTTTCATTCAATTTTTCTTTCTTGACTTCTTTTTCTTTTTTTCTTTTTTCATTTTCTCCTTCTACTACGACTTTTTCTTCTCTTTCTCTTCTTATTCTTCTCTTTTTCTTTTTCATTTTCTTCTTCTACTACTTTTCTGCTTTTCTTCTTTTTTCAATTTCTTCTTCCTTCTCCTTCTTTTTCAATTTCTTCTTCTTCTTCTTCTTTTTTCATTCTTTTTCTTGCTTCCTTCTTTTCTTTTTTTCTTCTTCTTCTTCTAGTTTTCTTTTTCTTCTTCTTCCTTTTCTTCTTCTTCTTTTTCATTTCTTTTCTTTTTCTTCTACTTTTTTTCAATTTCTTCTTCTTTTTTTAGTACTACTCATTCTTCTTCTTTCTTCTTTTTCTTCTTCTTCTTCTTTCCTTATTTCTTCTTCTTCTTCTTTCATTCTTTTTTCTTCCTTCTTCTTTTCAATTTTTCTTTTTCTTACTCATTCTTCTTCTTCTTCTTTTCAATTTCTTCTTTTCTTCTTCTTTTTTCCTTCTTCTTCTTCTTTTCATTTTCTTCTAAAATTACTTTTTCTTCTTTTCAATTTCTTCTTCTTTTTCATTTATTTCTTCTTCTTCTACTACTTCTTCTTTTCCTCCTTCTTTTCCTATTCTTCTTCTACTACTTATTGTTCTCATTTTGCTTGTTTTTCTTCTTTTTATTTTTCTTCTTCTCCTTAGTCATTTTCTTTTTTTTCTTCTTCTTCTTCTTTTTCTACTCATTCTTTTCTGTTCTTTTTCTTTTTCTTTCCTTTCTTCTTCTTTTTCATTTTCTTCTTCTACAACTTTGCTTCCCTTCTTCTTCTTTTTCAATTTTTCTTCACTTTCATTTTCTTCTTCTTTTTTCCTTTTTTTTCTTTTTTTTTTTTCTTCTTCTTCTTCTTTTTTTCGTTCTTCTCATTCTTTTCTTGCTTCCTTCTTCTTCTACTTCTTTCATTCTTTTCTTGCTTCCTTCTTCTACTACTCTTCTTTTTTTCAATTTCTTTTCTTCACTTTTTTCATTTTCCTATTCTTTCATTCTTTTCTTTCTTCTTCTACCAGTTTCTCATTCTTTTTCTTGCTTCCTTCTTCTTCTTTTTCAATTTCTTCTTCTTCTTCTTCTTCTTTTTTTCTTCCTTCTTCTTCTTTTTTTTCTTCTTCTTTCTTTCTTTCCTTCTTCTTCTTTTTTTCTTCTATGTCATTCTTTTTTCTTCACCTTTTTAGAACAAAGGAGATCATGGTTCTGTACAATTTTCCAACTAATGTCGCTACTAGCCTTTTTTTCCCCCTTCCACTATCCATTCACAAGAATGCGTCAGGTCTTTTCCTTTTACTTCTTTTTTCTCTGCCTTGCTTTTCCCCTTTTACTTCTTTTCTCTCTTGCTCTCAATAAACCCCGTGAAGATTAAGTTTTTCAAGGTCTCCTTCCTCATTATGTGTCCAAGGAATTTCAGTTGTCGTATAAGTGCTCTTTTTGTTGGCAATTTATTTAAGACTTCCTTGTTGCTTACTCGCACCATCAATGGAATTTTCACTATCCTTCTGTAGAACCACATTTCTATCGCCTCATCTGTGGGGAAATAATCCAACATTTACTGTCATATAAGAGTATGGATATCACATAAGCAGGCCAGCCTCTTTTTTTTATTGGTGTTTCTAAGGAAAATTTTCCGTTTCTCAGCACTTTGTTTAGCTTTTTGAAAACTTATTTCGCTCGCCCAATATGTGTTCGGATCTCGATGCCGTCTTTTCCATCCTCTGTTGAAACTCTTCCTAGATATTTGAACGTCTGCAGATGCTTGATGTTTATATCTCCAATTCGTTATAAGTGATTAGATATCACATAACAGCTCGGCACTTGCTTGATGTTCATATCTCCAATTCGTTATAGGTGATTAGATATCACATAACAATTCGGCACTTTTCATTTTTTAATAATATTTTATAGTTATGCAAATATGGTTTTAATATTATGTTAAAGTCAGTATGTGCAGATGGTGTAATAATCACCGGCTCGTATAAAGAACTGAGTTCGAACTCCAGCTGATTTCTTTACATTCACTTTTGCACAAATACCCTTAGTAAAGCTAGAAATGCACCTCTTTTACCCCAGTTATGGGTTAAATAGTTTTTTTCTAGCTATGGTTAGCAATAAGTCGATGAGAAGAAAAAGAGTTAAACAAAAAAACATATGTAGTCCTGGCGTAGCAAACAATAGGCAACAATCGACAAAATCATGGAGTTCACAATGACTTATGTATTATTCTCAGTTTAGTATTTACCTAATGTCTTATGTCGTCAAGCAACGTAAAACGGATATCGATACATCGATGATCGTCTGCTGAGAAATATTTATCCTTATATCGTTCCTACCATGTTCTATTTTTACTAAAGTTAGGTCAGTCCAAAATTGGATTATTGCTGTCATGTCGTGCGTTGTCGTGCAGCAAAATTTGGCCATCCCTATTCACAAATCCAGGATGTTTCTGTTTCAATTTTTCGTTCATACACTCACTTTCTCTACAATAGGTGGTTGCTGTTACACTTTTCCCTTCAAACAAAAATGAATAATGAACAACCCCTTTGAAAGACCACCATACAGTAACTATTAACTTTTTAGGTTACAGTCGAGGTTTTGAATATTGTTTTGGTGATTCACCGGCACCTAACCCCTGGCCTACTCTTTTACTGTTGTCAAAGAGTATCCATTTCTCATCTCCTGTAATGATTCGATGCAAAAAAAAATAGTTCGTTTATCCGTTTCTACTCATACAGTAAGATTACTCGACATTGTTTCATTCTATTCATTTTCAATGAACTTATCAGTAACAATATATTGAAAGAAAAATTATCTGGAAAGAAAAAGAGTCAGGAATAAGTCACGATTTTTTTAATATTCTAAGGAGGTTATTTCGTTAGACGCCAGGATCAACAACCAACCCAAAAATGCGTCATTATATGTGTTACAACTTAATACGTTTAAAAAATAAAAAAGAGAAACGGTTAAAGGGGAATAACCTCGAATTCGAAGTCAGAACATTATCATTGATAACTCTCTCCTCCAATTTACGGAGCCTAGTTACTACATTCTTATAATGCAAAAATATCACAATGATAAAATCGGTTATTAATTATAATTACTTATACTGGGACTGATGCATGCAATTACAAGTAATCCATAATAATATTTTAAATTTTGAAATCATATTCATTTTTGGCATGAGATTTTTTCTAAATCTTTGATTGTCTTTCAATCATTCCGCCTCACCTGCTATCCTCTTCCGCCTCACCTGCTATCCTCTTCCGTCACACTTATAAGGTGCGAGGAACCACTGGTCTGCGTCAAAGTCCCAAGGCACTTTCACACTTATCTCTTGCAAAATGTTCTTTTCAGATTGAGGTCATCTATCTCATCGTTTTTTTCCTAAATCTCTCCTACGTTCGATAATCTACTTCGTTTAAAAAACGATTTTAACTTTGGGAAAAGCTCGAAGTTAAATGAAGCCGAATATTACAAGGGAAGTAAATGTCAGAGTGAGACGATATTTTGTCGATAAAATCCCTTTTACAAGACCCAAAGAATGGTGGATAATCGAGATATTCAAAAATATTCGTATACTTTTCCTCAGGAATCAAGATTAATATCATTCCGACGAAGATAGAACAATTTTTAATCGAGTTTAGCCCATATAAGACAGTAAAGTTAGTAAGACACAAAGGGTTACTAAGTGTGGAAGACTTAGAAAACAAACTTTTTACTAAGGAGCAAGAACAACAGAAGAGTAATCAGGAAAACAGTAAATAAGGATTGACACTGCATTTAAATTTTTGAAAATTAAAGTTGAAATGGAGCCTGAAGAGTTCCGCGAGCGATAAACTGTTATCAAAGAACTTACAGCTCAACTGTAAATTGATGAGACCTCAATGCCAGTCTAGTACTGCGATTATATTAATAAAGTCTAGGTACCATAGTGAAAAGCTCATCTGAACAATTACAATGAAAGTATTTATATAAAAAGCACAGGGTGGCAACTTTCCGCTGGTGAGAAAGTGACTGAAGCCGAGATGTCAGAACAGGATCAATAATATTGCTGATTCTTCTTTGGATTTTATGAAGAATCTCTCGACTTATCTTTTTTTTTTCTATGCTTTTTTTTGTTTTGTTTTGTTTTAGCTATTTTACTATGCTGGCATGTTATGCGACTGCTACTGCTGCTAAATCTCATTCTGTGGAAGCCCTGAAACTACGAAAGTCACCTGGTCCCTCCAGCTCTCACGGTCTTTGCAGAGTGTCGGAACATCCTCCAACGCCAGATTAATCTTCTCGAGGTCCTGGCAGACGACGTCCTTCCAGCGGCTCCGGGATCATCCGCGAGGTCTTTGCCAGTTTGCAAATAGTGGATCGAACCAGTAAGGGGGGGTACCATTTGGGATGGTATGATTTTTTTTAAATTTAAATTCTATTAAATTTATTCAATAAGCAACTGTTTATTCAATAAGAAACTAACTGCTTAAAACAAAATAAAATTCTTACGACTTAACAATAATGTCCGGCTTTTAAGAAATGGATCTCGCGCACACACGCACGCACACAAAAACAAAAAAGAATAAACACAACACAACCGCTGAAAATATAATAGCAACAATACTGACAAAATGGTACTATTAATATAGATAGTACCATTAGTCATATTAGTAGCAACAGAAAAGTATTAGTATAAGTAATGGCAGTAAAAAAGTAATGAATGTATATATTTGGACACTTGTATTGGAGGATACCTGTCTACTAGGGCGGCTAGCCAATCCCTATTGCAGACGCTTGCTCGGGTGCATTTGTGTTTATTCAACACCCACAGAGCCCACTTGTTGTTTATACTGCAACTATGCTAAGTAGACCTTAGTTGCAGTTTCTGGGAAATAGCATGTTATCTAGCGCGATTGTTGTGGTGTCCTCCCTCTTAAGAGTCTATGTTAGACTCTTCCGCCTACTATAACATTAATAGGACAGAAGACTTCGGGGAACAGTAAACAGTGAACAGGATACTGTGAATAGATTGAGCGCTAGTTCATTCGATACACTCTCATTAGTCGTGTAATACTCTTCTGGTGTACTTACTGTTTAATATACGATATATCTGCAAACCTGTTTCTTGTTATTACTTAACTATTTACTTGGTCACAACAGTGATCAACAATTTGAACAAGGCCAGCACGCTCAAGCGCTCGGCCACGATGACTTGTTACTTCGTGCTAGTACAACTATCGACATCACCCAAGGGTTCCGTCTACCCAATTTCACTCACAAGGCTTCGGTCAACCCGTTGTATGGTTTTTCAGGCACTTTCCAAAAGGGCCGCACGCTGGAATCAACCCCCTCCCGTCCGATAACATCAGGACGCCTCCTTGATGACAAATCGACCACGGGCCCATCAACAAAACAAACAAAACAACAGCAATGGATAGCGATGTGGTAAATGGTTTTGGCCAACCAAGCTTAAAATCCGGCCTATTTTTACGTCCTTTTTCAGACTATAGAGAAAGGCAGGAATCCATCTTCGCTCTCTCCAGGTATTGGTAAAATAACAAGGTAGACTAGGCTCTCTAGCCTTAGGTGACAGCCAGTCTAAGTGAAGGGCTATACTGAATTTAAAAAATCGTGTAGAAGGTATCTGTGGAGCGGTATAACCGCCGTCGCCCTAGTATTTTTAAAAATCAGTTCACCCTAAGCAAGGCGATAACGCCACTAAGATGCAAGAAGATAATGGAAGTGAAAGAAGGAAAGGACTTTAGCAGGAACAAAAAAAACAATAATAGTATAAATTTCAGCGTTTAGGCGGAGACGTCAGAAGCAGAATTTAGCAGGAATCGGAAATCCGAAACAGGAAATAGGGGATAAATCTCTACAACTGTTCAAAAATCTGGGGAGGAGTGTAAACCGGACCATAGGTTAACCTATAAACACTTATTAAAAAAATAGATAAGCAATAGTTGTAGGAGTATAAAAGGCTCGAACAAGCTACTAATCGTCTGGAAGAACAACTACCTGACTATTCATCGCCATCATTAGTCGCTTGACTGCTTCAATCGGCTTAAAGGGTAAAAAGAAACAAACAACTTCCTCCCATGATGATCTGTTGGCGGTGGCTGTCAGGAGTTTCGGCCTGGTCATGTCCGCTCACTCTTTAATATTGTATGACCAGCTCTTGCGTTGCCCTCCCCGCTTGCGTCCGCCATCAACAGTGCCTTGCATGATGGTCTTACAGAGGTTGTTATGCTGTGTGATGTGGCCGAACCACGATATCTTCCGATGCTTTCTCCGTACATAATCATTAGTTTTGTGCTACCAGTAGAAGATGCTAACCATTACACCAGGACAAAATGCAACTTGTAGAAGCTGTGGCGTAATCTGGTACCATGACAGTTGTATGGGATCTTTTGACGCTATCCGAAGAAGTCGCCATGATGTCCCTTGCGTCTCTAAAGAATTGCAGGCTTTTAAAGGATATTTAAAATCTATTGACAATATGAACACTTGAATTTTCTAAAATTGTTTTCTGTTTGTATTGTTTCAATAATTAATACAATTCGTTTTTTTTTCGTGGGCTTATTTATTTAATGCGATAAAAAACATTTATCTCGTTCAATTTGTGGATGTTTACAGGGGTAAATGCACCCGGAAATAAATCTGTCAAATTCGATAAGTAAGAAAGAAATGAAAAAAAAAACGGAAAGAAAATAGCGATTCTGATTTAACAACGCTGATAAAATGTATCCAGAGTGTTTGTTTATCATTTATCTAAATTTTTAAAGCAAAATTTCCAGACCTCTAGAACTTTCTTTTTTATTTTTCGACTGTCAATGCTGACAGCCTTATTTTCCAAAATGTAAAATTATTCTTATCAAGGTCTGCATTCCCATACAAAAAGAAGAATGGCTCAAACCTACATCACTTCCTCTCGAGTCAAAATTGCCCCTAAGTATGGAGTACTTGAAATATTTCCGGGATAGGGCAATATTATTTTCGCTATTAACGTCAGAAAAAATTCTAGTTGGTGAATTTTGAAAGCCCCAAATCTTCATGGCACTCTAATATACAGGGTGATTTAAAAGTGGTATGTCCCGGAAAGTGATCTATTTGATCGAAGTAGCTAAATGGTTTTGGCTACTGTAACCAAGTAGTACACGGTAGCAGTAATCGACTGATACTCGTCGTAGTCGCAGGTAATAGGTGTAGACCAATAGGATAGCCAATGGCGTGGTCAAATGGGCGTCGTCATAGACTTAAACTCTGTCGTCCCTACACGTCCGTCTGTATTTATGACTAACATCATCCAATCATATTCTAGTGAGGGGGAACACAGGTGTATGTATATTCCATTATATCAAAAGTAACTCCCTATTTTATGTATGAGTGGTTAGACATGAATCCTGACGTCACACCCTGCGACTTTTTTCTTTGGGTTTGGTTAAAGGAGCAAGTTACTATACCAAACCAAAACTTTGGAGAAAGTTGTAGGGCGAATACAATAAATTATATCTTCTATACCACAAGAGTTCCTGGTGAATTCATTTGACACGATTCCTGATAGCGAAATCTGATGCCCACATCGAATTTTAATTAAAACCTCATGTTAAACGCTTTCCTCTCATAGCCATTTCTTGTAAAAATTATGGTTAATAAATGAATTAAAAGTATTTTAAAATGGGGCGTGACATTTTTTGTGACTCCAACGAACACTCATTTGACACTTTTGTAATGTCAACAAATACTCGTTGCCACTTTCGTAATGCTCGTTGTAGTAGAGACTTTGTAATCGCAGATACAACTATAGTAACGCCGTTGAACAATACTGGTGTCAGACGCATTCGAATAACACACACACTAATAGTACTTGCTCAATAATAATCACTCGAACAGTAATCCGAATAGTGATCCTTATAGAGAAATAGTGTACTGAACAGAGTAGAGAATAGCGATCCGTATAGTATAGAGGATAGATTAGAAATACAGATCAGCTAGCCGCCAGCTATTACCTACATATTTGCGTTTCCTCTGTGGTCTTCTTTATTCAATAATGGGATCGCTTGTGTTTGCTCACTGGCGATCAATGTTCAAACTTAAGTTTCGGCAGTAACACTTTATTCGTATATTATTAAAAATACACCCTTAAATGCCGAATCTAGGTGCGTCGTCAGTGTTGTTGCTCCCATGTCACTAGAAGTTTCGGGTCTAAATAAACAACAGACTTCTTCGATGGGCGACCCGACCGAATATGATCAGTATTCGGCCTGCACCCAGCAAAAATTTGCTACTAGCTTTAGGACGTGCTTGATGTAAGTTCCCACAGAAAACGGCAACTAATCAAGTCTTCACTTGGGCTATTCGATGTTATAGATCGGGTATGCTTGGTTGTACTGATCTTCCTACAAACGCCCAAGACAGAGTGTTTTTTGAAAAAAGAATAGAAAACAAACCAATATATATATATATATTAATAAAATAAAAATGATTTATTATATTGGCTCGTCTTCCGACTTACTTTTCTTTCTCTTCCTCCCCTTTTAAATTCTTTATTATAACTTATTTGTTTGCTCTTTCTCTTTTTATAACGTTCCTTTTTATTCTTTCTTAACTACACTTAACAAAATACAATATTTACGTTATTCGGACTATTGTCCTCATCTTTGTCGCCATATTTCTTACAACGTTTCGGCCGCCGTTGGAATGTCGAACATAACCCTTTATTTCGCTCAATGGGGTAGACTGTTTTAATCCCACGTACCAGTTATCAGTTATCTCCCCCTGAAAGTTCTCCATTGCCTTAACCGGGTATTGAATTCACACACTTTGGGTCCTGTCATGCCTCTTTCCACTGTGCCATGTGTCCTTGAGGACATTTGTGTATGAATTTCTGGGTATAGTAAACCTAATGCCTTCAGCAACTATTTTTACCAGTGCTTATATTGCAATTTTTTTGCTGTTATCACACATGTTTTTACCAGACCTCATATTGCATTTTTCTTTTATTATTATCGCTTTTCTCTGGCACTTCTTATTACTGGTTCTCATATTGTATTCATTTCTATGAGATAACTGATAACTGACATCCATTAAATATGGCACATGGAACTAGAACAGTCTACCCCAGTGGGCGAAATAAAAGATTATCATTCCAACCACGTGAAGAAGGCCGGAGCTTACAACGGCCGAAACGTTGTAAGAAATATGGCGACAAAGATGAGGAAAATAGTCCGAATAATGTAAATAATGTACGTAATACCTCATCTCAGAAATATAGGCAGATACTTAAAATGTTTACAATAAAGTGATTAAAATGACTTAGGCTATTTACAAAAATAACTCCTAAAATACGTTATGAATAATTCGGGATGTTAATTAATACTCTAAAAAATTCCGTTTAAAAACTAAGAGAAATAATATTTAACTAAAATTGCTTAAAAATAAATTAAACAAGATATTTACATGTTAAATACTAGTTAAAAAAATAACATAATAACGTGTAAATTTTAGTTAAAATAAGTTACTCCCAAAAAATTATCTTTAACGGAAGAAATTTGTTTAAAAACTAAGAGAAATAACATATAACTAAAATTGCTTAAAAATAAATAAGGCAAGATATTTATTTATATATTGAATAATAGTTAAAAGAAAAAATAGCGTGTAAATTTAGTTAAAATAAGTTACTCCTAAAATAATTATCCTTAAAGGAAACGGATTGAGAAAAAAGATCGAGTAAATATATATATATATGTAACACTTTTCAATCTCCCTGTATTTCTCAGTATTTTCGTTCTCTTCTCTTGTTAACCATAAATTTTAAGATTCAAGCCGAAATTTGAAGCTTCAGAAATCTTTCAGGGAACCAAGGATTGATCTATCTATAAAACGTGCACTTTTACAAACAGCCCATCAAAAACTTCCTGTGAACGACTTACTGTAGCTTCAATAAGCCTTCATATTTTTTTTATTTCCCATAAACACTAAGTTTCGCTGGGCTGATTTATTTAACAGATATTATAATGAAACAAGTTTACCCCTCCGTTATAGATGCGTTTGTAACATAACATTTATCTCAGCGAAAAATACAATCGTATTCAAATTTCAGTCTAGACTGATGGATACAAGATTCTGTTCCTTCTAACCTTGGCTTGTATCATCTCATCATCGCCGCTTCGATTCAGTGTTTTCTCTACTTATGATTAACGGTTGCATTCTCATCCAGGCTCTATGTTTGAACGTCTTAGGTGTCAAGTGCATTCCAGACCTCAAGTGGAACTCACATATATAACCCATTACTAAAGATGCTAAAAAAAATGATCGGATAATGTTATCGCTCCAGGAATTACCGGGTTTTTTGAAAACTAATTTTTACCCATACAAGCCCCCAAATCCCTCAAGGTAGAGCGTTACTGAATAATGTTCTTATATGAGAGTTGATTGATTACTTTTCTACGGTTTTTCAACTCTTTGCAAGCAAGAAAATATTTTCAGATTTTTTTGAGAGATGATAATGATTTCTTGATACAAGATTTACTGATTAATCCGTAGCTGGAGGGAGACGATATTTTGTGACTCAACGAAAACCCGTTACCACTTTTCTAATGTCAACGAATACTCGTTGTCACTTTCGTAATGCTCGTTGTAGCAGAGATTTTGTAATCGCAGATACAACTATAGTAACGCCGTTGAACAATACTGCTGTCAGACGCCTTCGAAAATCACTCGCACTAATAGTACTTGATAATACTCACCCGGAAAGTCATCTCCGAAAAGTAATCCGTGTAGTGATCAGTATAGAAAATAGTGTAGAGAAGAGAATAGCAATCCATATAGTGATAGAGGATAGACTAGAAATGGCGATCCATTAGACGTCACGTGACTTCCTATATATGCGTTTCCACTATGCTCACGTGATCCACTTGATTTAATAATGGGATCGTCTCTGTTTGCTCAGTGCCGATATATGTTCAAAATCAAGTGTTGGGAGCGACACTTTATTCCTTTATAACACGATGGGAGTTCATCCCATTCGCAGGGGATTTGTGCGTAATTGAATACAACGTACCCAACTGAAATTGGAATTCGACCCTCAATAAAAATTCCTAGACGTTATTCATTACACCACACGCACATTCAAGCTAACACCTGGTATTCACAAACGGTCACTCATCTCGGTACTGACCACGCTCGGCATTGCTTAACGTCGGTGATCGTATGGAAACCGGTGTTTCAATGTTATATAATCGTAAGCCGTAAGAAGAGGTGAAAGAAGTGTATTTTATGTGGTAACGTAGAATAGATAGCGGTTAACTTACTACAATCTTAACCTTTTCAAGTCGAAAGTCAATCGCTATCTATCCTCCTTATTTTCAAATTATTCACACGATAATAATTCCTCTTTCATTCATAACAGACAATTCATTCATCATTAACATTTTACCAGTAACCTTTACCTTTCATTGAGTACACTTCAGTATTAAAAAGACCATGGGTTAAATGGCAAGGTAGACTTGGCTTTCTAGCCTTTGTTGGCAAACAGAGTAAGGGAAAGAAAACTAAATTTCAGTTGATAAAGGCTAAAGAGCCACTCACGGAAGAGGATTACTGAATAAGGTGTATGATATGAATGTAAGAGAAGGTCAAAAGAAGTGAAGATAACGACTTACCATTAACTTAAAAGGGTTAAGATTGTAGTTTTCAGGGATGTATACACGTAGGACTTTGTTCCCTAATGTAGTTCTCCAGTGACGTGTTGTCCGGCGGGAACTTTCGCCGTCCAACTGAAATGTTGAAATGAAGAAGGAATATGGATGATTCGACTTCCTCGACGTAACATTGCAAGTCCTATCGATAATTAGGAAACTAAAGATTGATTGATTTATGGAACTAAGAGTTGATTGATTGATTTTTTTCGGTCTGGTGCTCCTATTATTCATCTCGAGGTTTTTGACAAAAGCCAAACAATACATACATATATATATATTTAATTTCTAAATATGATTATCACAATTTTCATCTCTTTCTCTGTGTATAATCCCAAAATTTTCATTTCTTTCTTTCAAGAATGAACTGTAACAATGGGAATCACTTTTTATCTCCCAAGTACTTTTACATCACTTTCTAAGATCCTCATCAGGGACGTAACTGGTAAGGCTATCCATTGCTACCATTATATATATATATATATATATATATATATATATATATATATATATATATATATATATATATAAAGTGGACATTTCAGTTTTCTGAGTATTGATGTTAATATCAATTTTATATTTACATACGGTCTATCTGATATTGAGAACTTTAACTTATATATATATATATATATATATATATATATATATATATGTGTGTGTGTGTATGTGTGTGTATGTGTGTATGTATGTATGTATGTATATATATATATATATGTCATACCTTAAAACTATATTTTGTCATATATATATATATATATATATATATATATATATATATATATATATATATATATATATATATATATATATATATATATATATACCTTAAAACTATATATTGTCATATATATATATATGACAAAATATAGTTTTATATATGATATATATATATATATACATACATACATACATACATACACACGCACGCATACACACATATATATATATATATATATATATATATATATATATATAAGTTAAAGTTCTCAATATCAGATAGACCGTATGTAAATATAAAATTGGATATTAACATCAATACTCAGAAAACTACCTAGACCGGAAACTACCTACACAATAGATTTTTCCAGGCCTATATTAAGTAGGCGACATAGCACTCTAGAGAGTGACAGAGAGTGACAGAGAGAGACAGTGAGAGTCTAGTACGACTACTAGTGTTGGACACTAACATATAGCAAGCTCTGCTTACACTATCTCTGTAACCTGTTGTTAATATATCTTTCTTACATCTAATCCGTGTTCCGTGTTTTCTTTCTGTGGTCCCAACTATGGCCCGACATCAAATGTATATATAGTTATATATGTATTTTCGTACTGCTATGGAAATAAACTTTGATGGAAATCATTGCACTGATGTCAACTTTTAAAAAAATGACGCGGAAAAAGTTTATCGACTTCTGAGAAGCAGATTCCCAGCTGAGAACTTTTTTTTTATCGCGTAGTGAAGCGACAAGAATTACCCTAAATATGATCCCCCCCCACTAAAAAATGAAGAGAAAAAAACTGAAATTTCAAGTTGGGTTGAGGACATAAGCCAATCAATAAATCATGTAATAAAATCGATAATAAAACAAGAAATAAAAAAAATCGATAAAGTAAATAATAAATCAAGTTGTATGAACAGTAACAGCAAAGAGCTAAAAATAAAATAAAATAAAATAAAATAAAATAAAATAAATAAACAGATGAAGAAGCAGATAAGTACATCGCCGCAGTCCGCAAGAAGCAATTTCTCGACTTTTAAAAGCTGGAAGGGCAAATGCATATATTAACGATTTAGGGCAAGATGTGCTTTTATATTATACACTTTCTCAGCATCAAAGAACACTTAATGGTAAAATAAAGCAAATCATCACTGAAGCAGATAAAAATAAAATAACTATAAAATTATCATTCCACCTCCTCAACTGGAAAAAAAAATCATCGACCATTTAATATAAACATTCATATATTGCTTGAATGCTTCGTATTGATCATTTGGACATTAAGCTGCTCTCACACATCATTAGTATTGATTTTAACTTTATACGTCCTGATCTGGCATCTCGTCTGCAGTCGCTTTCGCACAGACGTGCCGTAGCTTCCCTCTGTCTTTTCTACAAGTATGTTCACGGCAACTGTTCTGACGAGCAACTTTCGCTGGTTCCCAGACTGCATGAATTTAAACGAGCTACTAGGTTGGCATCTCGGTCCCACGCTTTCACTGTCGAAACAGTTAAATGTAACCGTCTCTTATACACAAACAGCTTCTTTTCTCGCACTTCCCGTCTGTGGAACTCCCTTCCTCTTGTTTGCTTTCCTGATAACTATAATCTTCAAATATTCGAATGTAATGTCAATCGACATCTTCTGATACTTTGACCTTGTTCCCCGTCCTTCTCAGCATCCTTTTCTCAAACAGGCTTCTTTACTCTTGTTCCTCAATCCTCTGTAACCCCTTGCGTGCTAATGGCACTCCCGGGTGCTTCGAGTGAAATGCTTAAAAAGAAAGCTGGTAGGAACCAAGGATCATAATCTAATTATGCTTGTTCCTCAGAATACACATTATAATTTTTATTCGGTCGAGCTTGCTCGCACATTCATGAGTCTATCACACCAACCATCACGGTCGTTCATCAAGGTCGGAAGGTCATTAGGGTGTCATTTCTGGGCGACCAACTCGTCTTGCTTCATGGCTAGGTGTTCAAATCAGTAGATCACACAATGATGAATGTCAGTAAACGAAATATAAATATGAAATCAAATTTATTCTATCCAGAATAATTATCAATTTTATTAATTATAACCGACGACGAAACACGGCCAAGTAAACGTAGGAAGATTGTGTTGCGTCAATATTTTCTTGTTTGGCTTGGGTTAACTTGAAATTAAATAATGATAACAAACTGTTGAACTAGCTAGATGCAACCGTCAGTTCTATTTCAACCGTTTATATATAATATAATATATTTTGAAATTAAAAGGTTGAAATATATAAGGAGAGGAAGAAAGAGAGAGAGACAGATGAAAATATTGAAATATATATATAGAGAGAGAGATTAGTGTGTCTGTGTGTCTGTGTGTGAGTATGTGTGCGTGTGTGTGGATATAGTCCGTCGATGAAATAAATTGGTCGGATAAACAACAACAATAATAATAATAATAATAATAATATTTAATGAATATTGTTATGCCTTTAGACCAAAAAGAAACATGAGAAAAGAAACTTTGTGAGAAAATAGACGTTGCGGGGATTTCTTTTGCGTGTTGAATTTCTAATGAAAGTTAGTATATATATATATATATATATATATATATATATTAGTGGTCAATATATCTATCTATAGATAGATAGATAGATAGATAGATAGATAGATAGAAATTTCCAAGAGGAGAGAATCCAGGTAGAACTCAATGTCCAGGACAGAGTAAGAATATAATAAAAAGGCTTAAACACTAATATTGCATGGTTATAATTTATTCCATTGGAATCGTAAATACGATCCAATTCATCAGACCTACAAATTCAAAAAGAAATCGGAAAATATAACTCCGTGTATAAAAAAAACAAAATTTTAGTGAGCGTGTGTGTGCGAGTGGGAAACAAGTGTGAGAGTGAAATGTATGAAAACTCTAGAGAGGGGTGTAACAGAAAAAATAAGAACAGCAAAGGCCTTAAGGTGAAGGTGGGAATTAAAATTTAACAAAGAGAAGTTTTATAGAGAGGAGTTAAATAACGGTTTAAATGAGTGAGATACAAATAAATATGAATTGTTTACAGATGCTAAATGACTACCGATTCGCTGACCTAAAATTAAAAAAAGAAACACCGGAAACGTGTGGATATATTTGTGGTGACATTAGACACAATAAAAAAAATTATTTGACAACTTACAATCCAGCCAATTCATACGGCCGATGCATATACGAAAATTTTCCGTCTGGTTTGCATTTTCTAACCTTATGTATACAAGGAAAGAGAAGATGAGAAACAGGGGAAACAAAGAGTGGGACAAACTAAAAACGAGGGCATTTATAAGAGAAATGATGAGTAATCAAGAATAATTAAACGAAGCAAGTAATATCTCCTACAGGTTACAAATTTAACATAAACATATGAAAATATTAAATCTAGTAAGGACCTACTATTTATATGCACAAAGTCACATACGTATATACAGACATAAACACCTACATATATATATATATATATATATATATATATACACATACATATACATATATATATATGCACACACACACACACACACACACACATATATATATATATTGATATATATATATATATATATACATACATTCATGAATACATATAAACATATACATATATGCACACAGACATACACATATGTGGATACAAACACATACATATAACCATACACACATGCATACATATGCATACTCACACTCATATATACAAATACATAAGGTGTATATATATATATATATATATATACAAAAAAATAGAAAAATAAAAAGTAACAACCCACACCCCCATCCATACATACATTTAACATATAAAA